TCTGTCACCAAGGCCAAATTTTCCAACTACCAGTGATTCTTCTTTGTTTCCAACTTTTGCATTCCAGTCACCAGTGATAATTAACACATCCTGACTGCATGTTTGGTCAATTTCAGACTGTAGAAGCTGATAAAATTCTTCAATTTCCTCATCTTTGGCCCTGCAGACACCCTGATTTTAGACTTCTGAGCTGCTAGCAGCAAAGCCTAGAACCCAGAATTCCTTATTGAATCCAGAGATGACTGTGAATCCAGAGAATCCAGGAACTGTGCTCCAGTTCCTCTCACTAAAGACAGGGGTCAGCATTTTGGGTCACTCATTCTGTTCAGAGAGCCTCTAAGCAAACAGGGACAGCTCAGAGGACCTTCACCAGAATTTATTATAATGGTAACAGTGCTGATAAAAACAACAATAACAATCATAGAGTAGTTTCTAGGTGCCAGGCACTGTTCAGAATTTACTTACTCTTCACAATCACATTGTAGATCCTATTATTTTCTTCACTTTAATGATGAGGCAACTGAGCCATTGAACTTTTAGGTAAGTGTGTTAGGTCTCTAGTGCTGCTATAACAGAAATACCACAAGTTGATAGCTTTAACAAACAGGAATTTATTCTTTTACAGTTTAGGAGGCTAGAAGTCCAAATTCAGAGTGCTGGCTCAAGGGCCTGGGTGAAGAAAGTCCCTTGATTTGGGGCTTTAGCGCTGCCTCTTGTTCCGGCCACGAGCTGGAGGCGTCTCCTAACTCACGCAGCTGCTAGCTGCTGAGGCTGAGGAATCCCAGGACGGCAGGTGAAATGGCACAATCCCAAGATCCGGCAGACAACACCAGCAGGCCAGTGGTTCAAGTCCAGGAAGTGGAGATGAAGACACAGTGAAATGTAAGATCCAAAAGGTGCTGAGAAGCTAGAGACCTTTCTCAAAGTTTCTCCATATATACCGCAAGCATGCCACTTCCCAAAGGCAACTAAGTAGCTGCTCACAGCAGGTTTCACCAAAGAGTTGATTACACCACATCCAATCTCATCATGGGGAATAACCACATCCAGCTGCCAAGCCACTCAAAACCACCACCCAGCGAAATTGACAAACAACGTTAACTACCACAGTACGTTACCCAATATATAGTTGGATATACAAGCTATGTTATTTCTTTCAAACCTTTCTTTCGCGTTTTTTCACTCAGTCCAAAGTTCCTACAGGTCGTTCTTCCCAGGAACAGGAGAGGGCGTCCCAGAGCGCAGAAGCAGGAGGGGCGAAGAGAGGGTGGAGGCAGGGATTGGTGGAAGAGAATTGACATTTAATAGCGGAAATCCCGCCCCGTCTGGGCTAAATTTCCGGCTCCAATGCTTTGGCATTTATGCTGACGGAGCAGAGCCACTAGTGCCGGGATGGTGCTGCTGGAGAGCGAGCAGGTATCCTGATCTGCTTGGCCAAGGGACTGATGTCGATCGCGGCTTAGTTAGGGGCCTCTGTCTCCTGAGGGGATGGGGAGGACTGGGATGCCGTGTGGTGGGGATTTGGGGCCGCCTAATGGGGCCGGGCTTGTTGTGTTACAGTTCCTGACGGAGCTGACCAGGCTCTTCCAGAAGTGCCGGTTGTCGGGCAGCGTGTTCATCACCTTGAAGAAGTGTAAGCAGCCGTTGTCTCTGCAAGGCCGGAAGAAGGCTGGGGGAGGGCTTCCTGGAAGCGGAGCGATTCCTCGGCCGGGTCCCCAGTGTTTGGGAGGCACGGGCGCAGTCTGTCTGCCGCTGATCCTCGCGTTCCACTACGGTCCTCCCTCTTGAACTGGGTACATTCAGGCCTGAGGGGCCAGAGAATATTAGGGCTGTGGCTGGTGCGACCACCAGCAGTTAGCCGCATAGGTCAGTCCTGGTTATAACGGGCCCCTCGCATGTTAGGGTTGTTCTTTCTGTCAAGGATCCCACACCCCTCCACGATTAGTGAGATTTAATCTGCTTCGAAGTTACAGTATTTCTGTTGTGGAAGTAGTGTGGAGTTCTTCGAGTTTGACCAAACCGTTGGTGATAGTGGATGATGTGGTTAACAGAACTAGAGAGTAGGGTGGATTAGGTAACCTTTCCGTATTCTTTCCCTACATTATTATTCGCTTTTTATTTGTCTGTCAGCGTCTGTGGTTGTGTTCACTAGGTTATATTTATTTTTAATGCAGATGATGGTCGAACTAAACCCATTCCAAGAAAAGGTACAGTGGACAGCTTTGAGCCTTCTGACAACAAGTGTCTGTTAAGAGCTACTGATGGGAAAAAGAAGATTAGCACTGTGGTAAGCTGGATTCCTAACGCCAGTTTTGGAGTTTAAAGACTTGAATTTAACTTTGTGTTAGGGCCTGTCTGAACCAGCCTTTTTTTTGGTCTTATTTTAAATAATGGTTGGTAAGGGTATGGAGTCCCTGGGTGGCTCAAACAGTTAAGCACACCCAAAAGGTTGGTGATTTAAACCCATCCAGAGGCTTCATGGAAGAAAGGTCTTACAGTCTGCTTCTGAAAGGTCACAGCTTTGAAAACCCTTTGGAGCACAGTTCTTTACACCTATGGGGTTGTCATGAGTCAGAATTGGTTTGTTTCTTTTTTGGTAAGTGTGTACTTCCCCAGCTGTTATGCAACCAAGACCTTCCTTTACTTCTTTAATAGTGGAAATCTCGACAACAAAATTAAAGTGAAGAGTGTTAATTCTGGTGGAGGGAAAGACAATACACAATATGGGGGAAGTGAGCATAACATGACCAAAGCAAAGGAAGACACTGAGAGGTAGGCAAGAATAAAGGACAAGTATGATAAATAATACAACATATACAGTCCTGCAACAACAATAGTAACATGCAGTAATTTGTGAGTGCATATGTAAGTAGAAACACGTGCTAAATAAACGTGGAGGTCCTGTGGGACTGTACCCGTATGCAAAATTGGTACGGTTATGGGTTTTTCTATGTTGTTGTTATGTGCCGTCAAGTCGGCCCTGACTTGTAGCGACCCCTCCTTGGGTTTCCGAGGCACTATCACTACAGAAGTAGGATTGCCCAACCTTCCTTCTGAGGAGTGGCTGGTGGGTTTGAACCGCGAGCCTTCTGGTTAGTAGTCAAGTGCCTTAGGCACTGTGCTACCAGAGCTCCTGGATTTTTCTATATACATATACAATGTGGCATGTAGGGGCACTACTATGGAAACTTCCTAGATATAACCAAACACCTTGTGAGACTGAGCTACAAGGCCTGAAGGCTAAGGACCATTTGGTATAACACAGTACATAAAGACTATGTTCTGCATCTTAGTTTGGTGAGTGGTGTCTGGGGTCTTAAAAGCTTGTGAGCGGCTATATGAAATACAACTATTGGTTTCTTCCTGTCCAGAGCTAAGGCGAGTGAAAAAAACCAAAGACTCAAGGAAGCAATTAGTCCAAGTGACTAATGTACCACAGCCTGAAACTAGAATTAGATGGTGCCTGGCTACCACTACCAACCATTCTGACCAGGGATCAATAGAAGGTCCTAGTTAGAATGGGAGAAAAATGTCAAGACAAAACTCAAATTCATAAAAAAGACCAGACTGACTGGGGGAACCCCTGAAATTATTGCTGTGAGTCACCCTTCTGTTGTGGAATGGAAGCCACTCCAAAGGCCACCTCTCAACCAAACAATAGACTGTCCTGCACATTCCTGTGAGCAATATGCTCCTTAGGACAACCAACTATATGAGACCAAAAGGGCAACATTTGCCCAAAAACAAAGACGAAAAGGCCAGGAGGGACAGAGAAACCAGATGAATGGAAACAAGGAACCCAGGGTAGAAATGCGGAGAGTGCTGACACATTGCAGGGATTGTAACCAATGTCACAGAACAATTTTGTGTACAAATTATTATTATTGAATAAAACTCTTACTTGCTATGGAAACTTTCACCTAAAGCACAATAAAATAATAATGATAAAAAAAATGAAGGTAGAAATCAAACACTTGTTCTGCTAAAATTTTATGGAAATAAAATTAGCACAGTGGTCTTTATTCACAGTAACAGTAAAATGCCAAAGAAGCAGTTGGCATAAATATTAAATTCCTTATCCTTGTACTGTGCTAGACTTTCAGTGAACAGTTTCTTGGGACTAAATGATGATTTTAAGCCAATTTTTTGTATCACTTTGTGGATCACATAGGAAACATATAGGTGTGTGTTGAGCTTGGTACCTGAGAGAATATACATTTGGTATATATAGTCTTCCCTTTCATGATGGAGGTTGAGTATTGCCAAGTGAGAGACTCCCTGGATTCAAAGCAGGTACTTCTTTATTCTTCTAGAGCAGATTCAAGACTGCCCTCTAATCATCTTAATATAAGACATTCATGAGAATGTAGACCATAATTAGTTGATAAGTCTCCCTTTATAAGTTTTTATTTTTTTATTGAAATATAATTTATGTACAGTGAGATATACAAAATTAAAGTGACATGGGTCAATTCATTTTTTTTTTTCCCCTCCAGTGTTTCCTCCCCTCCCTTTCCATCCCTGGCAACCAACAAAGAAAGTTTCCCCCATATATAAACCTTTCCTTGACCCTCCACAACAATGAACTAATACTATATTTGTCCTTCTGTGATTGACTTAATTCACTCAGCATAATGTTCTCCCAGTTCAATCACGTTATATGGTGTTTTGCAGACTCTCATTAATTCTTTAGTGCTGCATAGCATCCGATTGTTTGTATGTACCATAGTTTGGTCATCCACTCTTCCACTGATGGGCACACAGGTTGTTTCCATCTTTTTGCTATTGTAAACAGTGCTGTGATGAACATCAGTGTGCATATATCTGTTCCTGCCCTGGCTCTCAATTCTCTAGGATATATACCTACTAATGGGATTGCTGCTCAAATGGTATCTCCAATTCCAGCTTTTTAAGGGATCACCATACTGCTCTCCACAGTGGTTGTATCACTTCACAGTCCCACCAGCACTGTATGAGAATGCCAGTCTCTCCACTTCCCCACCAGCATTTGTTATTTTATGTCTTGTTGAACCTTGCCATCAGTGTTGGGGTAAGATGGTGTGTCATTGCTGTTTTGATTTGCATTTCTCTGATGGCCAGTGATCATGAGCATCTCTTCATGTGTTTGCTGGCCACCTGAATATCCTTGGTGAAGTGTCTATTCACGTCTTCTGCCCATTTTTCAATTGGATTATTAATCCCTTTGCTGTTGAGGCATTGGAGTTTTCTATAAATCTTAGAGGCAAGTCCCTTGCCAGATATGTAATTATTGACAAGTATGAATTTGTTGCTGTCATTTTTGTTACATGCTTTTTCATGGTGTTGATTTCTTTGTTCCATGTAATTTTCTGTGCTGAGCTCGTTTTGTGTATGAATTGTTACCACTTCCTTCGTTGCTATTGTTTTAGTATTTGTTAAATATTTGTGCTAGTCCTCTTTTTTATTTTGATGTGAAGGTTTTTAATTTTCCTTGAGGGTACCCTGTGATTTATAGTTTTCTTCCCAAATTTAGAACATTCTATCTTGTAGTTGTCTTGATTTCCCTACCATTGAGAAGTTCTGTAACTACACAATTTTTTCCCTCTTTTTGGTTTGTAGTTGTCCTCATTTGTCAATTGATGTCTCTGGTTTCCTGTGCACAATCTTGTAGGCTTATTTACTTTGGATACTTCCATAGCCAGGTTGGTTTCTGGGTTTATGTTCATGTGTTAATGGTCAGTTGTTGTTTACTGTTGTTGCTTCTCTGTTCAAAGGACTCCCGTTAGCATCTCTTGTAAGGTTGGTCTGGTTTTAACAAATTCCCTTAATTTCTGCTTATCTGGAAATGTCCTAATTTCACCATCATATTTGAGGGACAGTTTTGCTGCGTATATAATTCTTGATTGGAAATTTTTCTCTTTCAGGGTTTATGTATACAGTCCCATTATCTTCTCCCCTGCATGGCTTCTGCTGAGAAATCCAAGCTTAGTCTTATCGGTTGCCCCTTGTAGGTACCTTTTTGTTTTTCCTGTGCTGCTTTCAGGATTCTATGTCTTTGGTTTTTATAAGTTTGATGATGATATGTCTTGGTGTTTTTCTTTTGGGGTCTATCCTGTTTGGGGTTTGTTGGACTTCCTGAATGGATATAGTCTCATCTTTCATCATACCAGAAAAATTCTCTTCCAACAAACCTGCGACAGTTTTTTCTGTGGTTTTATCTGTCTCTTCCTGTTCTGGAATTCCGATTACACTTAGGTTATTCCTTTTGATGGTATCCCATATGAACCTTAGGCTTTCTTCATTTTGTTTTGATCTTTTTTTGATTGATCGCTTTCCAAAGAAGTATTAAGGTATTTATCTTTAATCTCACTAATTCTGTCTTCCATTGATTCAGTTCTACTCCTTTGCCTGTTCAATGTCTTATTTATTTCTGAAAATTTAGTATTAATCTTCTGGATTTCTGTGTGTAGACTTTGTATCATTTTTAAGTTTTAATTTATTTGGTCATTTTGTTCTTGTATTGTCTTTTGAAATTGTTCTAGGGTTTTCTATGTGTTTTCCTCAATTTTGTCAGTATTTTCCTTGATCTGTCTCTATTCACTGAAGATATCTAAATATAATTCTTTTGAATTCCTTATCAGGGAGTTCCAATGGTGCATCTTCCTTAGGGATGTGTTTTGGGTCTGTATCCTGGTCCCTTGTTTCTCTTGCTTTATCTTTTTTTTTTTTTTGTAGTGAAAAAATTTATATTTAAATTAGCCAGCCTGACTTGGTTTAGATGATCTCAATTTTGTTGGCAACATCCAAAGCGTCATAGTCAGAAGGCAGTCGAACATATGCTTTCTTCTCTCCATCAGGCCTGATCAAGGTGTTAACGTTTGCCACATCAATATCATAGAGCTTCTTCACAGCCTGTTTGATCTGGTGCTTGTTGGCTTTGACATCCACAATGAACACAAGTGTGTTGTTATGTTCTGTCTTCTTCATGGCAGACTCAGTAGTCAGAGGGAACTTGATGATAGCATTAATAGTCAAGCTTGTTTCTCCTGGGGGCGCTCTTCCAAGGATATTTGGGGTGCCTGCAGAGCCTCAGTGTCTTAGGCCGCCGGAAGGTGGTGACGTGCAGATCTTTTTTTTTTTTTCTGTGGCTTTGGACGCCCTTCAGCACTGCCTTCTTGGCTTTCAATGCCTTTGCTTTGGCTTCAGTTTTGGGAGGGGCAGGGGCTTCCTTCTTCGCTTTCGGTGCCATCTTCGTAAAAAGGCCCTTTATCTTGCTTCTTTGTGTGCACTGTGATGGTCTGTTGTCTTCAAGGCATTGTGACATTTTTGTGTTTGTATTTAATTGGTGATTATATATTGGAGTGACTTGCCCACGATTTTCATTTTGTTTTGTTATCTACGTAAGCAAGGTACTGTGCTGTGCTCCTCTGTTCGCTAGTTGGCAGCACTTATGTACTCATCACCTGTCTCCTTTCCCGCTGATGGCCTCCCTTATGTCCCTGCTGTCCTTGGCAAACAGAGCCTATTCTTAGGTCCCTGGAATGCAAATGAGAATGCTATCATTTTAAAATCCAAAATGGCCACCACTTGTAAAGATTCAAAATGGCTACACCCTCAGTCACTTTAAATATTCAAAATGGCCACTGCTTGTAAACAGTCAAAATGGCTGCACCACATGGACAGTGGAAAGTCCACAGCTCAGGTTATCCTTCTCCTTGCTGTTTCCCTTCCTAGTCATAAGCCACCAGTGCAGTCATCCCTGCAGCCTTTGGCAACCAGCACTGATCTTTAGGTGAATTCACAGGTCCCAACAATACTTGGAAATATTCAGGCTGTTGGTCCTGTCAGAGTAGCTGACAGTCCACTGCTCCGAACGTCTCCATACTTACTATTTTCATTCAGGTTTTTCCTGAATGGTGCTTAATCCACTTCTGTATACTTCTTTCAAAGCTCAGGGTTCCAGGATTATCTTCTGTATCTCTGTCAATTGGTTTCTTTTTTCTTTGTTGAGGAGGGTCTGTGTAGGTTGTCTGCCTATTCCTCCATCTTACTGGAAGTCCCTTTATAAGTTATCTTGAGAAGACTTACAGTGAAGCCAGCTTATGTGGTTTTTAAAAATTGAGCTGAGTATAACAAAATACAAAAATCTAAGGAATCTTCTTCAGAGGCAGAATTTCTCTTCTTGTGGAAACTTTGATTGTGCTTAAACAGACCTGAATTAATGGAAAGTAGGTTTAAAATAAGATGGTTGTTGTTGTTATGTGCCCTCGAGTCGGACCCAACTCATAGCGACCCCTCCTCGGGTTTCTGAGGCAGTATCACTACGGAAGTAGATTGCCCCATCTTCCTTCCGAGGAGGAGGTAATTGATAAAATGTCAATGCTGAGAAGTCCTTTGACATCACTCAGTGTCAGATGTGTATAAGGGATTCCAATGGGTGAGAAGCACTGCTTTTTTAGTTGCCCCCTTCTGTCTCTTTGCCATTTTGTGTGGAAAAAGGCACATAGCTACTTTATCAGGCAGTGGAGTAGAAAAATAGTCTTCAGTATATAACCCCTGACGTTGGCAAGACATACATTAATTAGGATGTTGTCTTCATGAGACTTGAGATATGATCTGGGGTGGGGCAGGGGATTCCTGTATGGATAACAGGTGACTTCTTTTCCCCCTTCTTTTCTAGGTGAGCTCCAAAGAAGTGAATAAGTTTCAGATGGTGAGTTTCTGATGTTTCTTATGTCCCCCTTCTCAGGGCAAAAGGAGGCATGATGCTGACCACTGGGTTAAGACTGATACTTTACATTTAGTGCTCTTCTTTCATTAAGTTTTATACCAAGTAAGAAGTTGCCAGGCCATAGCTTCTACTTTTCAGCACTGATACTATCTTCCTTTCTAGTTTTTTAGGTAGATTTTATCACAGTTTTCCCATTTTGCTTAAAAATAAAATTAAAAAAAGACTAAAATGGCTATGTTGTCAAAGCTATTCTAACATGAAAGAGTGATTTCGTCTCACACCATTTTCCTTAAAATGCATGTGTCCCATGGTACCATATTCTTTATATGTAGGCTTTTTGGTCGTGGCTACCCTAAATTCAGAGTTCACCACCTGTCTGGTCACGCTGTCATGGCTCGTGTGTTGCTGTGATGCTAGAAGCTGTGCCACCGGTATTTCGAATACCAGCAGGGTCACACACTGTGGACAGCTTTCAGCAGAGCTTCCGGACTAAGAACAGGAAGAAAGGCCTGGTGATGTGTTTCTGAACATCAGTCACTGAACCCCCCATGGATCACAACAGAGCATGTCCTGGATAGTGGTGAAGATGAACTCCCTATGTTGGAAGGCACTTAAAACACAGTGTGGTTTCAACAGTGGACTCAAGGATACCAGTGGTCATGAAGATGGCACAGGGCTGGGTAGCATTTTGTTTTGTTACAGATGGGCGAGTCAGAGTTGACTCAAAGGCACTAACAGCAGCAGCAACAAACTCATTATGGAAACAAGGCAGCTACTCCACTAATTAGTCTTCCCACTAAGGTCCTGCTCTCTCTTTTTCAGGCTTATTCAAACCTGCTCCGAGCTAACATGGATGGGCTGAAGAAGAGGGACAAGAAGAGCAAGAGTAAGAAGAGCAAAGCAGCCCAGTGAAGGCACTGTGCTTGCCGCTTCCCCAACTAACCACTGCATTGCTGTTCCTCCTTTTGGCCACAAAGCTAGGTTTCTGGCTCCCCCACAGGGGCTGTTTTCATATGAGATTCAGAGTCATTTTGAAAGGAGAAGGGCAGAATAAGGGCTGTTTACAGGTGGCTGTGGTAAGAAGCCAGTTTATTTCAGACCTCTGGCTGATTGGTTTCTGTTGCATGTTGTATATGCCTGGGTTGTAGTTTAAAGTGTCTATAGCCATCTATGTGAAGAGCAGTGTATCATTAAATCCATCTATTTATCAACACCAATTGTCTCTTATTTACTCCTTTTCCCACCCCATTTTAATAGTTTCTGGCAATAACTACTAATTCTGGAATGTTATGATTGATGAATAGGCTTTAGCCTTATCTTCTAGGTTGTTGGAATTGAAAACTAAACAATTTTATAAAACGTTATCTCATGGTTTGTATAAGTTTATTATCAAGTTTTTAGCAAGTCTGAGTGATTCTCATAGCGAAATGAAAGCTTTGCTTAACCTCCTTACAATTCATTGTTGTCTGCTGTTGAGTCAGTTTTTGATTCATCATAATGAATGGCCCCACCACATTTCTAGGCTGGAATCCTTATGGGAACAGATCTCCAGGTCTTCCTCCCACGGAGCACTGAGTGAGTTCAAACGCCAACTTTCTGGTTAGCCGTTGAGGGCTGCTTTCATTAGGATAAACATTAAAAATCACCAAGAATAAAGACTCTGATAATGAGGACTTTTGGTTTCTTTATGCCCTTTAATTTGGACATTTTCACATTCCTAACCTATTGGAAAAACTAGGCTATTCTCTTGCGTTCAGTTCCAAAAACTTTCAGTACTAATAGATTTGCAATTAAAAAGCAGAAGATATATGAAAGCATTTATTATGTTCAAAAAGATAAACTTATAATACATTTCACATGAAAAACTGACAAAGCTCAACTTTGTAGATCGATTTCTTCAAATTTAAAGTTAATTTAAAATAACAGTGAATGTACAACATTCTATAATATGAGCTCCTGTCTGTTTGAACAATATAGTGACAGTGTTTTAGGGCTAAAATAAGATTCTGTAGTAGTCATCTCTGTAGCTATACAGGAATAGCACAGACACCCTGCAAAAGAAAAGAAAAGGTAGATTACAAGGGCAGAGCCATATATATGTATACTGGTGAACAGTTAATCAAAATATTTTTAGAATATGTAATGTAGGAGCTTTGTTTAAGCAGAAACAAGATGAAAGGTGAGTCGCTAAAAATTACATAAGTTTTATAGAAGCTGTGATTGGCCAGGGTCTGCAGTATAAGGTCCAACATAAGCAGATCACTATTTACCTCAGGCTTCGCTGTTGCTGTGTAAGTGGATGATCACATGGACAACTGACATTTTGATATGAGAACATAAAGCAGTCACAGCTATTTTCTTTCATTTAAACATTTTTAGAGGTAAGTTACCTGGGTGAACAAAATTATAATTGGGATAGCTACTCTTGGGACCACTGTTTTGTTACTGATGGGATCACGACTATGTGATTGACAAGATTTGCTGCTTGCTAGCATTAGCCATCAACCCTCAGCAAGACAGTAAGATATATGTTACTCTAAAATCACTCCGAGTTCTAACCGATGTGAAACTTAAACCTAAGTAGTAACTTACTTTTTTTCTACTTTGATGTTATAAATTTCATCACAGACTAATTTGAGGTATCTCTGCTTCGGCAGGTGTGACAGCAGCTGCTTCACAGTTGTGTTAAATGCCTGTTCATCAGCATCCCACTGGGAAAAAAGAGTTAAGACTTAACAGCAGGGCACTAGGGTTTATTAACTCACTTTTTCTGGGCCATTAATGAGATACCAATGCTTTGCCCCCCCTCTTCAAGTGTATCAGAGGCAATCAGTTCTAGGGAGCCAGTAGAACTGATGGGGATACTGCAGCTGATGGTTCTTCCTTTAAAGCATCAATTTTCTTTAAAATAAGTCTACCTCAGTAAAGTCCGCTTGATGCAGCAGCCCTGGTATGCTAACTTTAGGACTTGGATTAGTTATTGATGCCTGTTGTGAATCTGTATAAAATGGGGATACTATCACCAATATGCATCCATCTGTTGTTAGGTGCCATCTGGTCAGTTCTGAATCATAGAGACCCTATGTACAACAGAACAAAACACTGCCCAGTCTTGAGCACCATCCTCACAGTCACTGCCTGCTTGAACCGACCATCACAGTCACTATGTCAATCGATCTTGTTGAAGGTCTTCCTCTTTTTCACTGACTCTCTACTTTCCTAAGCATGCTGTCCTTTTCCAGGATTGGTCTCATCTGACAATGTTTTGGTTACTTTGTGCTGCTCTAATAGAAAATACCACAAATGGGATGGCTTGAACAAACAGGAGTTTATTCTCTTTAACAGTTACAGAGGTTAGAAGTCTTGAGTTTAAAGTGCTGGGCTCTAGGGGTGGGTGAAAGCCCCCTGACCTTGGGCTTCAGCTCTGCCTCTTGCTCCTGGCCCACTGAAGCTGGAGGCATCGCTTCACTCAGGCAGGTGAGGCTGACAAACCCAAGGTCGACAAGAAGGCACATTCCCTGATACTACCAAACCACACAGCAGGCCACTGATTCAAGTCCATTAAAAGTCCCAAGATTGGCACAGCATGGCTGGCTGTTGAATGAAGACTCGGCTACATGCAGGGTCCAGGTATGCCAAAAAGCTGGCGATCTTCCTCAAAGTTGCTTCTTATATACTGGAAGCAGCCCACATCCCTAAAGCAGCTACTTGGCTGCTTCAGTAGATTCCACCATGAAGTTAATTACCAATCTCACCATAGAGAATAACTACATCCAGCTGCCCAGCCACTCAACCAGGCCCAGCCAAGTTGACACAGCCTTAACTACCACAGACAACATGACCAAAGTATGAGAGTATTCTGGGTGTACTTCCTTCAAGACAGATTTGATCTTGTTTCTAGCAATCCATGGTACAGTCAATATTCTTCACCAATACCACAATTCAAATACATTAATTCTTCTCTGGTCTTCCTTATTCACTGTCCAGCTTTCACATGCATATGAGGCTACTGAAAATACCATGGCTTGTGTCAGGTGCACCATAGTCTTCAAAGTGATATCTTTGCTCTTTTACACTTTGAAGAGGGCTTTTGCAGCACATTTACCCAATGCCCTATGTCATCTGCAGCACATTTACCCAATGCAGTATGTCATCTGCAGCACATTTACTCAATGCCGTATGTCATTTGCAGCACATTTACCCAATGCCCCATGTCATTTGCAGCACATTTACCCAATGCCCCATGTCATTTGCAGCACATTTACCCGATGCAGTATGTCATTTGCAGCACATTTACCCAATGTCCTATGCCATTTGATTTCCTGACTGCTGCTTCCATGGAACTGCTGCTTCCAACTTGGATCCAGTTGACTGTGGATCCAAGTAAAAGGAAATAGGAAATCCTTGACAACTTCAATCTTTTCTCCATTTATCATGATATTGCTTATTGGTCCAGTTGTGAGTATTTTCATTTTCTTTATTTTGTAGTGTAATCTACGTTGAAAGCTGTAGTCTTTGATCTTCATCAGTAAGTGCTTCAAGTCTTTCTCACTTTCAGCAAGCAAGGTTATATCATCTGCATACTACAGGTTGTTAATGAGTCCCCTTCCAATCCTGATGCTGTGTTCTTCATACAGTCCAGCTTTTCAATTCTTGAGCGTATGCTACCTCCTAAAATGGATGAATGTTGACCAATTCTTTTCGGCAAGTGACTCTGTATTCCTTCTATGTTCATTTGATGCTTCCTGCATTGCTCAAATTTTCTGCCACAGAATCCTTCAATATTGCAACCTGAGTCCTGAATTTTTTTTTTAAGTTCTTTCAGCTTGAGAAATGCTGAGCGTGTTCTCTTCTTTTGATTTTCTAACTGCAGGTCTTTGCACATTCGATTATAGTACTTTGTCTTCTCGAGCCACCCTCTGAAATCTTCTGTTTAGCTCTTTTATGTCATCATTTCTTCCATTCACTTCAGCTACTGTCCATTTGAGTGGATCATAAATCAGTAAGTTGCCAGTATAGTGGTATATGCTTATTTGTAAGACAGCAACGGAAAATGTAATATGAAATGTTCTGGGGCAAAGTTAATTTTTCATTTAATTTAATCTAGGACTAAACTCCTGGATAGATAAAAAGATATTCTTTGATATGACACATTGCAAAAACTGAGCTGTAGCTATGATTATAAACATTCTTAATAATATGGGGAGCTATTAATTCAAATTTCTAAAACTTCTTATTTAAGCTATTTGATGATAAGGCTCTGTATCTGTAAAAAAAGCTTATAAAAAAGGAACTAAATTAATTTTAACAAAAGGATCTTCTGTATAGTTCTAATTCTACAAATGAGCTTCCCTTGCTGGAATGAATTTTTATTTGAGAGGCAGCATAATATAATGGCTAAGAATACAGATTCCACTAGTCTGCCTTGGTTCAAATCCTGGCTCTGTTACTAGCTGGGTACTTTGCACAAGATATTTAATCTCTCTGCTTCATTCTCTTGTCTGTAAAGTGGGGAATATCAACAGTACCCACCTCTAAGGGTTGTTATGATTAAATGAATAAATATTTGTAAAGTGCTTAGAACAGGGTCTTTCAGAGCCCAATACATATTAAAAGCAGTATGTGTTTGTTAAATAAGATAATGTATCTTTGAAATTAAAAAGAAAGGAGAAAACTATGATTCCCTTCCACATAGGATTTAGTAATCTGTAGGCTACTAAAAGGAACAATGAACTGCCAGAAAATCTCTTTGACTAAGAAATACTAATGGCCTTCTCTTTTAGCAAGTCAGCAGCAAAGTTTTGAGATTTTACAGGCCATAGTGCAGAAGAGTCCATTTTGCTTACCTCTAATGATAAAAACTGTAAGATTGTATCTTTGGGTAGATCCACCTGTCAATAAACAGAAATGCA